TATCTTTTAAAAAAAAGAAAACAAACCAACCAACCTCAGGGAGGTAGCGCAACAAATTCAGATGGGGAGCTGGGATAGTCTGACAGATCTATGTGCCACACGAGCAGCCTCTGCTCCCACACCTAAGCAGCTGCCAAGCTCATACCCCACCTATTTCAAGGCCCCAGGGCTCCCCGGTGAGGGAGAGTGTCATTTAAGATGATGCCTAAGGAAACTCCAGAAGAGACCCAAACAACAGCTCCATGTTCAGAAAGAGCTGGGTAGGCAGGAACTAGAATCAGTCCACTCAGAGGGATTTGGGGAACACCAAGACAGCTGTCCAGAAACTCCGAAGCCCAGCCCTGGCCCCTGTATATCTGGTTTACATGATGTGATTTGCCACAGAAAGGAATGAATGCTGAATGTATCAGACAGGGGACTGGACCCGTTAGCTTGAGCTGGGCCAAGCAGGTGCCACTGACCTCAACTGCCAGAAACATAACCTTGGAAAGGAAGTGAGGAAGGGCTGTGTCTCCCTCTCTGCTCCACCCCCAGACCCTTCCTGTACTGCTGAGCAAACTTCACACAAACCCCAAAAGCATCAGGCCACTGATATGGATTTACTCTCGCCATCATGTTGTCTTAATGGTTAGAGGTCACCCCAACTGAAATGCCCCAGGGATAGCAGTTGCCGAGGGTTCCTGAAGCAAACAGTACCCACTTGGGTATTCCCTGTACCATCTCTAGTGACAGGGGATCACATTTCATTGGTACAATAATACGGGAAACCAAAAAGGCCACGCGTTCGTCGAAGTCCCCTCTGCTGACTGGCCATTTGCCATCATCAGGCCCAAGGAAAGAGCCAACCACAGCCCTAAGCCAGAGCTGTTCCCTGAAGAAGTGGACTTTCCCTGACCCAACTCAGACCCTCCCCCATCTGGGCACAAGGCCCCTTTTGGACTGACCCCAGGAAGGCCCGAAGGGAAACCTTATTCACGTTGTCTAGGAGAAGATTCTAACTTAACAATCCCCATTCTCTCAATACTGTCAAGGGTTAATAAAACTCAATCCTACAATCAATAAGACAAGATTGCCCTTGACTGCCTTCCTTTAGAACTTCTTGATCATCTTTTACACGACGCGCCAGCAGATGACTGGATATTCTGAAAACATCACCCGTGGAAAACGAATTTGAGCCAGAGAGACGGCACCTCCTACCTTTGCGATCATTGCTGATGTTGCTGTATCACAGGTGCTCAACCTGGGTTTTGAGTTCCTCACGTAAAGAAATACAGGGGCATTCGGACTGGAGACGTATCCCAGGAGACCTCAAACCGAGGCTCTAGCAAGAGCTTCCAGATGCAGGTGACAGCCAGAAGCAGCTTCCCCAAGACCTGAGGACAAGTAGATCATGTCAGGTTCCCCGCGAGACCCACCTGGGGGGCCTCTTCTTTCCCCCTGCTTCTTGATCTTTACCACTTGCCTAGAGACACACCCCAAGCCCACCCCACTCCCTAAAACCCTCCACCCTGTCCCACAATCACCCCCTGCCTTCTCTGGGGCTTTTCCTCACCAGAGGTGGGCCTTCACCTTCCTTTTCCAGTCCCTAAGTTTGAGAGTCCAGCTCCTTTCCCACTTGGCCACCTCCATTGCCCCTCAGTGAGTCAGTTTTGCCCACAGAACCTCCGGCAGGTTGCTAGTCACCACTTCCTCTCACGCTGCAGGCTGCAGGTGCTGTGCTCTCTTCTGCGGCACTGCGGGGGGGCCCCTGTCAACAACTGGAGTATCTGTGTTGCCCAAGGCCTCCCTTTCTCTGCCTCCACTATTTTTTTTTTTTTTTAAAGATTTATTTATTTGTGCATACAGAACTGGGGTACAGGCCAGAGGCTCAGGGGCGGTGAGAGGCTTCACCAGAGACAGAGTGGGGAGCAGAACAGGCAGATCTACGAAGTACACTGCTGAGGGGAGCAGCGGGCGGGTCAGGAGAGGTCTGGCTCGCCATGTGGTCTCCTCCGGGGCAGGCGGGAATCGAACTCATGCGGAAGTGGCTTCAGATTCTCAGTACTGTGCTTTAACCCGCTGCGCCACCAGGGAGGGCCTGCCTCCACTATTTTAACCCAGACAATTGCCCCATGAGAAAATGCCTGCCCCTCCTCCAGTCTCTCTTTGCAAGGGAGACTGTTCCCACCATAACCCTGCCACACACGCTTTTCTGGGAATGAACACCTGTATCACACTGACCTGTAACTAAAGCCGGCTTAAGACCCCAAGTCACTACAGGTTCCCTGGGTATCCCTCACACTGCCCCTCCCAGCCTGATGTCTTGGCCCCAAACCCAGAGAACATGGAGCACCTCCCACAAATCCTCTCCCCACCCTCAAAATTAGCATTCTCCAGTCAACCTCAGCCATCAATACCTAGAAATATACTGGTTCCATAAATAAATCATCTGCCCCCAAAGATTTTTATTTGGAAGCCAGACTCGGCAAACTTACTGCTCCCTTTCCCTTACTCTATTTTCCACTGCCCCCCAACTTTCTCCCTCTCTTAAACTATCTCGGCAACATCCAGCTATTCCCTCTTGATTCACCTTGCTCTCACTCTAGGAACAAGAAGTATCCAGAATACCACCAAAACTTTTGGAGGTGATCCTGGTTCCTGGGGGAGGTGAGTTACTGACTTGTTGGAAACATTAGGATGTCTTTTTTCTATGCAAAAAAAGCACCATGGCTTTTCTGCAAAAAGCAGTCTCAGAACTAGGTCTAAGGACCATCTGTGAATTCACAACTTCGGGAGAAAGCTCTGGCCACAGCCATCTCCAGGAGTCTATCACTTGACGGAAGAAGTCAGACCGAACAGCAAACAGATTTCATCTTCTCACTGCTGAAACAGTTCACTTTGTCCTTGAAAAACCTCACTCAAATCAGTGACTCACCAATGAAGAGGAACCCAGCACAATGTTCTCCATAATCGAATCGCCCCTGTGATGACCCTGGCTGCAGAAAGGCCACTTGCAAGGTAGCTGGAGGTTGGCACGAGGCTGTACTCTGTCCCCGGCCATCTCTCTGATGTCTTTGCAGAGATGAGCAGAGAAATGTGGGCTCACGCCACTGAGGAGGGACGATGGTGCTGGATCCCTGAAGGTCTATGAAGCTGGGTGGACAGATGGATTCAGCCTCTAATCTTTGTCTTTCTCATCTTTTATCTTCACGGGATTGTTCTCATCAAATGTCTTGTGGGTGACACAGTACAGCAATTAGCAACCATCACCAAGTCTCAGCAGATGGTTCAGTTGGTCCTAAATGAACAAAGGCAACCAGATGAGAAATGGACTTACACGGTTCAGAGAAAAGGAGGACAGTCCTTCCCTTGCACAGAAGGGGACTGGCCACAATTCTTTGCCTGATGGCACTTTGCTCAGAGCCCCCTGAGTCCTCTCTCTAACCAGGGGCATCTCCGGAATTCCTGTGGCCTTCAGTTTTAGCAAGAATCCTGCCAAGCTCCACCCTTGATATCTGATCAAGTGAGTACCCCCACTGCCCTCCACCCCATACCTGAGCACCCCCATATCTGACCTGACTCTGCCTGAATCAGCCCTCACCTGATGTCTTCTCTTGGTAGGTTTTTTTCTAACAGTGCCCCCAAACCCTCGCTCCACTTGCCCACTTGTTCTGGCTGTATTCCAAACTGGGCCCAGTTCTATCCTCACTTTTAAAATATAACCTGTCACTCTAACTTCTGTTCCTTTCTTTGACAGTGTTCTTTTTCTTCATTTGTAGGTTCAAGCAGACCTCTTCTAAAACTCTTCCAGACCTCTGCAGATTTCCAGGGGTGAGGCCCTCAGGTAAGGAAGGCTCTCAGTTCCGGAGCAGGGAAGTAGGCAGGCTAGGGAAGGTCTCCCCTCCAGGCCTGTGCCACACCCTCACCTTCTGACCTGCCCCCACCTCTTCCAGCAGGGGTCCTTCTTCTGTGCACTCAGCCTCACTGGATCTTAAACCTACAGCCAACCTCTAGGGCTTCCAACTCAGGCCTGCTACTTGTACACCAACCCCATTTCGCGCTGCTCCCGGAATGGAATTAAATCCAGCACCTTAAGCTTGGCAGGAAGATGTGCCCAATGGTCCAGCCCTTGTGGGGCACAGTGTGGCACTGCACAAAACAGAGGCCTCTACTTAGACAGGGGAGCTGGGCCAGGGGAGAAAGCACACTGCCCCTCGCCCCAGTTTGTCCCATGGTACGGATAAGGACATGGCGGTTGAGCAAGCTGAGGTAGCTTGCCCACCTCATGCCCCAGGTGAGAGACCCACGGGACTTCTGCCTTCTGACCTTGCCCTTTATCCACCACCGAGAATCCAAGGCGCCCAAGCGCTCACCTGGCAGCTGAGGAAAGTCACTGCGGGGGGCCAACCACGCCCGGGCTTTTAAAAAGAGGCCTCGGGCCAACAAATTTCTGGTTTGTTTGTTTTAGCCTAGAACAGAAACCCGGGTCCCTCCTCAGCCACCCTCCTTCTGGGCCTCTGCTGCAGCCGCCACCGCATCCCACCTACCAGGTGGAAGAAAGAGACTTCACACTTCCTCGCTCCATCTTTGGGGGGCCGCTTCTGGAGTCAACCTCACTCCCCAAAAGCAATACGGGGAGTGAGGGAAAGGTGGGCGAACCGAGTAGGGAAAGGGCCACCTGTTCGTCACCGCCGCGGGCACCTGCTACCGCGAAGCCCTCGGCTGCGGCCCCGCCCCCGGCCCCGGCCCCCGCCCGGGTCCGCTCCCCCCGCGGCTTCCTCCGTGACCGAAGCCCCAGCACCCGGGCGGCATTTCCATACCCTAA